CGGGAGCGCGGTGGGGCGCGGGGCCGCCCGGGGGGCGCGGCCGACGGCCGGGCCGGGGCGGCGCGGTGCCAGCCCCGGGCGGCGGCTCACGGCGGCTCTCCTCCCCTCTCTAGGTCCGTAGCCGGGGGCAGCGGCAGCGGGTGCCGGCGGGGTGACGCGGCCCGGCGCTCCAGGTACGCGGCCCTTTCCTCCGGGCGCGGCGGCGGGGGCTGGGGGGCGGCGGGCGGCACCGCGACGTGAGCGGCCGGGGCCGTTCCGGAGGGGTTCACGGCGACGGAGCGGCTGTGCTCCGCCCGGCCCCGGTTTGGGCTGCGAGAGGTGCCGCGTTTGTTGCTTGGCTCCTTGGCGTCCTTAGAGGCAGCTTAACGTGCCTGAAGGCCGGTCGCTCTTTTCTGTGCGCATTCACTCGCGGCGTAGCGGAGACTTTTGCTTCCCAGCGGTGGCTTTCGTTGCCCCGGAGATGAAGTGTGCCAGACGGCACTGGACTCGGGGCGACTCAGGCGTGTGGCTTCGCAGCCTGTAGGTGTAACAAAGTCGGTTGTACTACCGATGCTGCCGCTCTCTCTGAATGTTCAGTCCGCAGTTATACAACCAGGTTTTAATAGTTTGTATTTTCTGTACGTCGCACACTGGTAGCTGTGTGTGGTGCACGTCTCAAAATGATATCGCATCAGAACATTGGAACAACTCAGTCTGTCAGTAGATACTGCTGAAAATGTTCCTCCTGGAACCCTTGTCTTGTGTATTGGTTCACTTACAAGAGGCACAACTCTATTTCCTCTTGTGTATGTTGAGCTAAAATTTCATGCCCCAAGAGAGCAGTATCTGCTTTTACCTGTGAACTTTGAAGCTTCTTTTCCAGCTCAATGTGGTGTTTGTAATAGTTGTGAGGTGTAACTTTGGGATTGTTTTGCTGTTGCATCTCACCAAACCTTGCGTCATTTGGTCAATCTTCTGTGATTTCTTAATTTCCTGCAATCACGGTTCTCTGTCAGTATTATGTGAAGTGTTTCATCAAAATCAGTGTAGCCTTATAAACTCTTAAGAGAACTGTTGCAAGATAACACGTTGATATCTGTCCTTTAGAAAACCCACTGGCTTTCATTCCAAATAGGAGAACAAAATTCCTAGAGGAGTGGTCTTTCAAAGAATGCAAGAAACAAGACTTCCTACATTCCCCACATACTCAAATCAGGGAGCCTGGGAAGCATGATTTATAGAATGTGGGGCTATACGGAACATTTTTTCTTAGATCCTTTAAAAAAACACAGGACAGACTACTGCTCCTCTTCATGTGCACACACACAAAACAAGTTCAAGGCAATGTAGGACAGTCACTTAAATCCAGTGCTGCTGATACTGGAAAGCTTGTGTAGTCCTTTCTGCTAAGATAGGTTAATTGGACTTAAAAGTACTTGCAGCAAAACAATTTGTCCTATATCAATATTTCTGAAATGATGGAGTGTCTTAGAGGGCTTGTAACCATTATTCTTGGGCTGCATGTCTTTAAAGTAACATGTTATATGTACGAGAGGGATTTTTGTGTCTTGCAGATGTGTGTTATGAAAGCTCTTTAACATGGAAGTAAACAAAGAACCAAAATGCTAAAGGGCTGTCATTGTATTTGGAAAAGACAAAAATCTATGAAGAATTTTATTGTGGAAGCAAAACTATACAACAGCTAAGACTGCTAAAATACTTGCATGATTTCCCTTTAAATTCCACAAGTAATGTGGAAGACATTGTAAGGTTTTAGGACACTGCTTCAAGAGAATATCTGTCATCGTTTCTACTTCATAATCAAACTGCATCAATTTTTTTTTTTTTTTTTAAGGTACTGCAGGGCAGTGTGTAACACAGACTTTTCTGATTTGTGTTCTGGAAACAAAATAAAGCATTCTCACTTGTTTTTTTTTTTTCCTTGCTGCTTTCCTTTAGGTGTGCCAAAATGTCAGAAAGATCAGATATTCTTCACTTCAAGTTTGACAATTACGGCGATTCGATGTTACAGAAAATGAACAAACTGAGAGAAGAAAACAAATTTTGTGATGTTGTCGTCCATATAGATGATGTTGAAGTTCATGGGCATAAAATTGTATTTGCTGCTGGCTCTCCCTTTTTAAGAGATCAGTTCTTATTAAATGACTCTAGAGATGTAAAAATCTCTATCCTGCAAAGTTCGGAAGTAGGGAGGCAGTTGCTTTTATCTTGTTACAGTGGAGTTCTGGAGTTTCCTGAAATGGAGCTGGTAAACTACTTAACTGCTGCGAGCTTTCTGCAGATGAGCCACATTGTTGAACGATGTACCCAGGCACTTTGGAAGTTCATAAAACCGAAGCAGCCATTGGAGAGCAAGGAGTGTGAACAGCAAAGTGACTCCTCTGAGCTGAAGGAACATGGAGAAGATGAAGACTCTCTGCCACAAGATTCACCTTGTATTCAACCTTCAGAAGACAGTATGGACATGGAGGATAGTGATATTCAGATTATCAAGGTGGAGTCCATTGGGGAGGTGACAGAAGTTAGAAATAAGAAGGATCAGAACCAGTTTATTTCTTCTGAACAAACTGCATTGCATTCCTCTGAACCTCAACACTTTCTAATCAACTCCACTGTTGAAAACAGAGCAAGTGAAATAGAGCAAAACCACCTCCACAATTATGCCCTTTCATATGCTGGCAGTGATAACATCATTCTGGCCTCTAAAGATATGTTTGGGTCTAACAACCGTGGTATAGACAAAGGCCTCCAGTGGCACCATCAGTGTCCAAAGTGCACAAGAGTATTTCGGCATCTAGAAAACTATGCTAATCACTTAAAGATGCACAAACTATTCATGTGTCTCCTCTGTGGCAAGACATTCACTCAGAAAGGCAATCTCCACCGGCACATGAGAGTGCATGCAGGCATCAAACCGTTCCAATGTAAGATCTGTGGGAAAACCTTCTCTCAGAAATGTTCCTTACAGGACCATCTCAACCTGCACAGTGGGGACAAGCCCCATAAGTGTAACTACTGTGACATGGTGTTTGCGCATAAGCCCGTTCTGAGGAAACATCTTAAACAGCTACATGGTAAAAATAGCTTTGACAATGCCAATGAAAGAAATGTTCAAGACATAACGGTGGACTTCGATTCATTCACATGTAGTGCTGCTACAGACAGTAAGGTCTGTCAGCAGGCCGATGGAAGCCAGGTACTGGATGCAGGGAAGCTGCCTCAGGCTGTGCTCAGTTTAAGAAATGATAGTACCTGTGTCAATTAAGCAATTAAAAACAGCCCTTTGTAGGGATCATGACTCAGAGGAGCAAACAGTTGGCTTGGGCTCTTACCTAAACTAGTGGTATGCTCTGAAAGGCTTCTGATGGAGGGTTGGATTGCAAAACCTGGCAGGTCTTCAGCCATCGTTCTTAGTCTTACTTGATATTTTCTGTGAATAACAATCTTCCTTCAGGTTTCTGTCTGTGTCTCTACTGTGGATTAAGGGGTTAATTGTTTCATTTCTCTCTGATTAGGAGACTCAAGACTAACACCTTTTGAAAGACTGTTGCTGTGTGCTGCAAGTAAACCATCTGCTGTACATTTAGAGGCTTCTCTGTGTCTGGGCAGATGGAGGAAAGAGCAAAGAGGACAAGTGTGTGAGATAACCCAATTGTTATTTTATAAAGCACTGGATCACTGAAAGCACTCCATATAGTGCTAATTTGTTTTAAACTTACCTCTTAACGTTATTTTTGTCTGATCTTACCCCTAGACCCCTACAGTTGAAATGAAGTATATTTGTGTCACTTTTTTCCCTTTCTAAACTATTTCAAGAAATTTCTGCTGCCAGTTAACACTATCTTAAAAGCTCTCAGGGTTTTTAATGTTGGCATGCATTATGAAGAGGTGAAGCCCTGAATAATTTGGCAGGGTTAGTTGATCATTGCATAGAACTGTTCAAAATGAGATGGGTTGCAGCTCTGGAATGCGTGAGCTCGGCACCTGGAGTGCCAGGTATGACCTGTTTCATAAGCTGTCATACACAGAAATATTAAAGGGCACTTACCATTGTATGTACTGATTCAAGGTAAGCACTTCAAAACTAGAAGTTGTCATCTATCTTCCATAAATTTTGTTTAAATAATCACAGCAGTTGCTACTTTCCTAATTGGTTTTAGAGCAAAGCTGGAGTGAAAAAACACTGCTTTTTGACACTGTGAAAAGAATCTGTTTTAAAAGCTGCAATGTATAGGAACTCCATGCTTTTTTTTTCCCCCTTAACTCTTCTGTATGTCTCCTTGAGAACTAATAAGAGCCACGTCAGTTAATATAAAAAAAAAAAAAAAAAGAAAAAAGTACTTACCATAGGTAGGTAAGAACATTAACAACATGAAGTTTTTTGATTTCTTGGATACTAAAAGGATGCTTTTCTTTAAAGTGACCTACATAATTCATGCCCATTAGCATTTTACAGAGCCTAAGATGAGGTATAGGTAGCATAATTTCCATAGGTTAGTTTATCAGCTATCGACTGTACTTAGCAATACCTCATGTGTACCGCCTTAAACATCAGATGTTGTGGGAATGGCATATTAGTTGGGATTTTGGGATTATTACTTCACAAAAGTGCCATGGAGTTACCCACATCCCAATCAGGCTGAAAGAAACGAATTTCTCATCTGCTGAACACCATTCCTAGTGGAACAGCATTCTTATATTGAAGTGTAGCACAGATTAATAATCAAGTGGCTGATCCTTGGTAGAGAACTGCTGTTTATGTTTGGAATAAGTATTTCTTCCAGTGCAGCTCTTTTCCTCAAGGTTTGCCATGAGGCTGAGATTATGCTTCCTACCTAAAAGTAGTATTGTGTGTTTGAATGAGGGGTAGGGATAGGGGGGAGGCTGCTATTGTATGGTTAAAAATGCTCAACAGGTATGACCAAAGGTGTGTTAGAGCAGAAAAATGTTTTGTACGTAATTATCAAAAGTTGGTCTTGGTCTTCAGATACGTATATGTAGAAACCAGGATTTCCTTATGCAGACTTGACACTGATGAATGGTAAAAATGTGTTAATCTTGCAGACCATTTTCAGAAATCCACATACCTTCGAGTAGAAAAGCAAGGTGATTCTGTGAATCCGTTTTTGCAATTGAGTTTTTGAACTACTGTACTTGACTGTTACATTAACTATTATTACATGGACAGCTATGAAGTAATAAGCAGTGGAAAGGGCATTATATCTTTCAAGTTGTAGCAAATATATTTAGGCCAAAAATGTAACTTTTTGGAACTTAAAAAATTCAGGTTCTTGGGGCAGAAAATAGGTAGGCATGGGAAAAGTTTTTTTTCCTCTGAAGTAACCTGCTTTCAGTATAACTTTGAGCTAAAACAGATCATGACAGTTGCATCTGACACTTGCGTTCTGACTTTGGGCAGAATCTTCTGCGTCGTTAAGAAGTTCTTATAATGTTATTCATTACGTGGAAATAAGTTGTAGCTCTGATGTCAAAAAGAAGATAGATGTGGAGAATAAGAACTTTGCAGAGCCAGGTCAACGTGCTGTAAGGGATCAGTGGAAAATCTAACACTATACAAATATGGACATAATAAAGAAAATGGTCTTCTGCCAGAGAAAGGAATAAAACTGTACAAATGCCAAGAAAATGGATGTTATTAGGAGGTCTGTCTGGAAAGTTTCTTCATGGAATTTCAAAGCTTTAATATTATTGCAAGGAGGATACAGCTTGTTGAAATAGCCGTTGGTGGCCTGAAGCTGAAACAAAGAGATGAGAGGTTATCCTAAGAAACTAAAAGATGATTTGATCAAGATATTTGGGTTTTCTGTCCACCCTGCACTGTGGTGATACCAACTTGTGAGAAGGCTGAGACTGCTGGCTACTCATTTAAAAGGCTGCTTGTGACCATTTGGTGAGATCATGGCAGAAAAAAATAGGAAAAAGCAGAAATGCAGAAGACTGCTTCTTCAGTGAAAATGAAACACATCTGTTGGATGAAAGGTGACTTACAAACGTTTGTGCTTTTTGCCTGGCAAAGGGATACAGACCAAAAGAGTTATGCAGGAGACAGCTATGTAAATCCAGAAGCAGTGGAGATCTAAGAGGGCAATGTGCTGATGAGCGCAATGTGAAGTGTTCTGGTAGATTTCATGTAAGATTTGCCCCTATATGGAGCAGAGAAGTTAAGAGTATAAAAGAGATATTGGAAAAGCAAAACCTGGGTACTGCCTCTTCCCTGGATTAGATTAAAATGGAGTGAGAATTATTATAAACAGAATATACAGAGGCAGCTTGATTTTAGAGTAAGATGAACTTAATTGTCCATGTATGTAAAATGTTGTCTTCATTGCATTGTTCCAGTTAGTGAAAGACTAGATCCAGTGGTTGTTGCTGCTGATGCTGCATATTCAGATAAGGACTATGGCAGTTATCGTAATCTATGTGTTAATGTGTAGAATACTATTTGCTGGTAAGTGGATAGTCTCACAACTTAATGTGCTGTACAACGTCCTGCATAATCTAAAAATATCTGGTCTACTACAAAAATATTTTAATAACCTCTTGAATATATTAGGATTTTTATGTTGGCATTTTATTTATTTGACATAGAATTCTTAGAAGTCTTAGATTTACGAGGTTGGGGCTCACCACCTCACTGAGCAGTGGTAGCTCATGTAGCATGTCTTCCTGCAGAACGTGGTGCAGCTGCACAGCCTCCTGCAGGGATCAGGGATGAGTCTTTCCTTATTTTTTCGTTTAGAGGGCCTGTTTTGCAAGTCCATAACTGATACGATTGAAGTGTCAGCCTTTCTCCCCTGACTTTTTGGCAAAACCGATAGCTGCCGCTGAACTCCTCTCAAAGAAACTTAATGCTTCCATGAGGCTGGTTGTGGTTCTGGTTCTGGAGCCGCTGGGAGGAATAAAGGCCGAGAATCAGAGCGTGACACCAGCTGAAATCGTGGAAAGGATTGGGAGCTCGCGATAGACTGCGATTTTGAGAAGAAGGAGGTGAACGGGTGAACTGCCGGCTCTCATCACTCACTGAATGAGCGCTTTCTCGTGGGCCTACAGCCGACGGACCGAGCATCAGCTACCTCTCCAGAGACTGGGCGGGAGGCTCATCCCGAGCGTTACCAAAGCAGGCTGGGGGGGCCGGGCCCGGCGGCAGGAGCCGGCGCCGCCCGTTCCTCTCGGCCGCCCCGGGGCCCTGCGCCGCCGCCCTCCCGAGCGCCTTACGGGGCGGCGGGGCCGCTGCGTTGCTACCTCTCCCGGGCGGGTGGCGCCGTGCCGCTGTAGCAGTGCCAAGTCTTGTAATAAACGTGCTGCTAACTTCCGCACCGCCTCTCATTTCCCACCGGCGCGGGGCGGGACGCGCTACCGGAAGGGGCGGGGCTTCGGGTGGCGCTTCCGGGTGGCTGGGTGCTGCGGTACCGGCGGCGGAGCGGCACCGGGAGCGGGGGCTGGGCGGAGGGGCGAGCGGCGGAGCGCGGTCCGGCCCGGCCGTGCCCTGAGCTGCCGGCGCCGCTGCGTGCGCTCGGCGCTGCCTGGGCACCGGCGAAGACAGCTCGGCCCCGGGACGGGCGGCCCGCAGGCCCGGCGCCATGGCCGCGGACTCGGAGGTGCTGCGCTTCCAGTTCGAGCAGCAGGGAGATGCGGTGCTGCAGAAAATGAACCTCCTGCGGCAGCAGAACCTCTTCTGCGACGTCTCCATTTACATCAACGACACCGAGTTCCACGGGCACAAGGTGATCTTTGCCGCCTGCTCCACGTTCATGAGGGATCAGTTCCTGCTCAACCAGTCCAGGCAGGTGCGAATCACCATCCTGCAGAGCGCCGAGGTGGGCAGGAAGCTGCTGCTCTCCTGTTACACGGGTGCGCTGGAGGTCAAGAGGAAGGAGCTCCTGAAGTACCTGACCGCCGCCAGCTACCTCCAGATGGTCCACATTGTGGAGAAGTGCAGCGAGGCGCTGTCGAAATACCTGGAAATCGACGCTTCCATGGAGAATAGCAGCCAGGCTGCAGAGAAATGCCATTCCTCTGACACTGAACTGAGGAGCAAGGACGATGTTTCGGATAAAGACTGTGAAATAATTGAGATTTATGAAGATAGCCCAGTTAATTTAGAATTCTCCGTTAAACAGGAGAAGGGGGATAACTTGCAGCCTGCGGCACAGAGTTTGGGCTCAGAAAGAAAGGACACAGGGACCCCAGACATATCAACGGTTGAAATAGGATATAAGGATGATGAAATATGTATCTTCAGAATGGATTCTATGAATGTACCTAATGTGGAAAACGATCATTTTCCTCAGCCTTGCACCTCCTCTAAAACAAACTTATATTTTCCCGAAACCCAGCACTCCTTGATAAATTCTACAGTTGAAAGCAGAAATACAGAAATGTCAGGAAGTCACACTCAGGCTTTTGTCACTGACAATCCAGAGGGGACTTCCACTCAGATAAATGGGTTTCAAAATCTGGATGATTCTGATCATTTGTGGCGGAACCAATGTCCAAAGTGTCCAAGAGGATTTCTGCATCTCGAGAACTATCTTAGACATCTGAAAATGCACAAGCTTTTCTTGTGTTTGCAGTGTGGTAAAACATTTACGCAAAAAAAGAATCTCAACAGACACATCCGGGGCCACATGGGTATCCGCCCGTTCCAGTGCATGGTGTGCTTGAAGACGTTCACTGCCAAAAGTACTTTGCAGGATCACTTGAATATACACAGTGGTGACAGGCCCTACAAGTGTCACTGCTGTGACATGGACTTCAAACACAAGTCTGCTCTTAAAAAGCACCTAACATCTGTCCACGGAAGGAGTGGCAGCGAAAAACCAAATCTGAATACTATTACAAAAATTGAAATAGACTGTGATTAATAGGTGAGTGGGTGTGGAGCCAGGCTCCACAAAAAGCTTCTATGATTGGTGATCAGTCAGGTCCTGAAAACAGCCATCTTGCCTGCTGTGCAAGGGCTGCTGTTGCTGTAAGTCCTCAAAAGGACTTTTTATTGGTTTATTAATTGAAAGTAAATGGCAAAACACAGGAAACAGTTTCATGCCTGTCTTGTAACATCCCTGAAATGTTCTAATTATTATCTCTTAATGATGCTTTGCACTCTTTTGTTTCAAGGGCAGACACTGCCAATTTTAAAACTTTTATGGACACTGCAATAAGCTGAAGCCTGAGCCGTGACACTTCTGATTTATAATGGCTTAGAGATGTTTATAGATATTCAGCAAGTCAGTCACACCGACTGTATTCATGCATAATTATGGTGATGTCATCTCCTTCCTTGACTGAACTTTGCTGGATCTTTCAACAGAAAAAAGGCATGTGCTCATACTCAAGTTGCCTTCTGCAAATAGGGAATTGGTAAAAGAGAACAAAAAAGTATTTCATTGCAGTTTGTGGTTTTTTTAATTGGATACTCTCATTAGAAGGACTTGCATTCAGTTTTATGAATGAGATCTGATTTTTTCTAGATTTCTCTCCATATCATTTCTTCTGTCATACCAGTGTTTAGTGCCTGTTTGACTTACTCTGATTAAGTTAGGCCCATTTGCTGAGCTGTAAGATTTGTCTTTGTTTTCTTACAAACCTTAGATACATATATTAATGTGAAAACATAAACTGTATGCTATTATATAATAACACTTGCTATGTTCATTTTGAAAAGCAATCCATTATATCTTAAAAAGAATACTTAGACATAGAGATCTTCTAATTCTGTAATACTGTAAAACAGTAACTGTGTGTTTGGATAGCTGTGTTTGTACTTTATCAAAAGTTATTTCAGTTTCATCACAAGCAGTGAACTCCTGTAATGCAAAATCTTTATCCTGTACTTGTCTTTGACTGGTATATGTTTCTTGCACTTAATGTGAAATGAATAAAGAATTGATTCAGTTGTTGTTATGAGATAATTGTACTTACATTAGATTCTTCAGTTAGCAGAAAGCAGTTCTTAATCTTGTCTGTATCACATGTGGATACACTTTCCTTCAAAGTTGACAAACACTGTTGTGAAACTCTTGCTGAGTCCAGAAGTATCACATTTGTGCTCCATAACCTGGCTGTTTTTAAAATACAAGACAACAACTTTTAATGTCATTTAACAGGTTTGATTTAATTTCATTCTCAGTGATTGTAACTGGTCGTTGTTTGGGGTTTTATTTATCAGTTACACGAGGGGCTGGGCATGTACAATGTATGCAGTGCAGTTTCCCGTTACTACCTGTAATAGAAATGATCAAATATGCCAGCTTTAGCACTATCTTCACATACTGCAAACTTTCATTGAGAAGCTTTTTAAAAAACTTGTATCATTAGGTACTTTTAAAGTTCTTTGTTTGATTTAATTCAGTACAGAAGTGTGCATTAGTTGGATTGTGGCGATATTTGCAGGTTCCCTTTCACATTAAGCTGTATGTGTATGCCTTCCTCAAAAATCATGTAGTCAAAAGGGACAAGTTGTGTTTTCTAAAGCTGACTGAGCCACATTCCTCCAAAAATTCTTTAAAATGTTTGACTCCATATCAGTTGACTTGTGAAGGATTCCACTGCATTGATACATTGGAACACACATGCTACATCTGCCTATCCGTGTCTTTAGGAGTAGTGACAAAAGTGACACACCCAGAGAAAGCGGCTGGTTACAGCGGTTAAAATTACAATCTTTTGTCCAGTAGTGACATTCATTTGGGAGTCATCTTGTGCAACAGCCTCACATTTTGGAATAGACAAAAAAAAGAAAAGCAGAGATCACTGTAGTTTAACAAACGTGCAGTTATGAGGCAGAACCAGGGCCTGCGTGCGTGCCTGTGTTTCTGTGTGGGTTTTGTGTGTGTGTGTGTGTTTTGTGTGTGTGTGTGTGTGTTTTGTGTGTGTGTGTGTGTGTGTGTGTGTGTGTTTTGTGTGTGTGTGTGCGTGCGGCCGTGCTGAGCTGTGCACGGCGCCTCTGGCGGCCACAGTCGGGCGGTTTCGGGGTGCCAGGCGCCAGGCCTGCTGCTGAGCGCGTCCTCCCTGAAGGTGTTCCCTGTCCCCTCTCCCACATGTAGCTGCTTGTCATAGACGTACCGCAATAAAAGAACTGCACACCGTTTCAGGACCGCTTACGCCTTCTAACCACGTTCGATCCATTCCGAGCGGCTCTGCAGCGCGTTCCCGCCCTGCGCGTCTCCTCAGCGCCTCAGCCGCTCCCGCCAGGTGCGGGAATCTCCACGAGGACCGCGACAGTTCAGCCTCTCCCCCTCCTTCTGGAGAGTCATTACAAAGTGATTAATTGAATTTTAAGAACAACCAACAGCAGCAGCGGGTACCTGGCGGAGCGCGCTGACAGACCGCGGGGAGGCGCTAGCGGGTCGCGAGAGCCGCTCTACGCCGCCGTCTCGATGGCGCCCCTTCGCCGGGCGGTGCGAGGACACCCCAGCGCCGACCCCGCCCTACCGACTCCCACAATGCCCCGCGCCCCCTCCCTCCCCGCGGCGGTCACGTGGCCGGCGGGCGCGGCGCGGCCGTTGGGCTCTCGCGCGGCGGCGGGCGGCTCTCGCGAGAGGGGGCGGGGCGACGCTCCCGGCTGTCAGCGCGATGAGGAGGCGCCGCCGAGGCCCCCGCAGCCTCCGCCGGGCCGCGCCGCGCTGCCCGCCCCATGGCGTGTGAGAGGCCGGGGCCGCCGCCTGCTCCCGGCCCCTCCGCCCGCGCCTCGCAGGTAGGAGCGGGGCTGGGCGGGGGCGGCCGCCAAAGGGGGACGCGGTGACTCGGCGGGGCCCCGCCCGCCCGCTCCCCCCACCCCGGCGCCCCGCGGGGTCCCGGCGCTGCGGAATCGTGACGGGGAGCGGGGCCCGGCCCGGCCCGCCCAGCGCGGCCCCTCGGCGCCCCGCCCGCCGCCGCACCGCGGGGAGGGGGCCGTCCCCCGTCGCTAGGCCGCCGGGCAGCCATTTGGTGGCGGCTTCGAAATGACGGCCGGGGCCGGGCGCAGGTGCGCGGCGGGGCAGGGCCCGCTGTCAGCGCCGGGCGGGGCGGGGCGGGGACGGAGCCTCCCCGGCTGCTCCCTGCGCTGTGCCCTTATCTCCCTATCTCGCTTATCTCTTTTATCTCCCGGCCGCGGCGGGGGCGGTCCCGGTTCCCCCCTCGCACGTCGGTGTTGCCCGCGGCCCGTTGCCTGGGGGCCTCCGGCGCGGCGGAGCGCTCCCGGCGCTTCCATCGCGGAGCGGTAATGGTGGAGAGGAGTCATGGTGGAAAGCAGGGCCCGACGCTGCGCCCAGCGCGTCGCAGCCCCACAGGCTGAAAAAAGCCGAGCAGGAAAAGCGTGCCTTCGTTCTGCTGATGCTTGGGGTGCGCCGAGGGCTTTAAGTTAAGGGGGGAAGTCAGCAGAAAGCGTAGCGAGCACGAGTGTGGTCGGGGAGCCGTAAGGATCGCTGTGCAGGCGGGGCGTGGAGGAGAGCAGCCTGTACCTGTGAGGAGGTGAAATAGTGCCCGAGCTGAGGCTGACACCCGCTGCTCAGGTATAGGGCTGTTTCCTTTCATCTTTACATGTGAACTTGGAATTTTTGTTGAAGGAGTTGGCGCTGACAACAGTTCCTGTAGCTGCTCGTGTGGAGGTTCTCTCATGCCCATTGCAGCTATTCTGCAGTGCTGAAAAGAAAACAAAAAACAGCCCTTCAGAGTACAAGGATGTACATTTGTAACTGTGGCGAAGAAGGCTTATCATTTCCAGTGAGGACATACAGTTTACATCTGCTAAACCCAAATATTCTTTTTGACCTTCAGTCTGTTTTCAACGTTTCAGAATTCTAGAAGTTGAAGCTTGCTTCATTAACAGAGATGTTGTTCTGTGAGACACTGAATTCTTAATTTTTATAATTAAATGCTTTCCCAAGAACTAACTGCCTTTTTAATGAACTTCTCCTTCTTTCTGCATATGGGCAAAACTTTCCTCAAGAGAAAATTTCTTACTGACTTGTCCTTCTGCCTTGTTTGAGGTCATGGTTGTTTCTCTGAAAAATATCAAATTCCAACAATTTAACTCTTAGTTCTTCAAATATCTCAAGGTCTTCATTTTGAATGCTGATCTTTTTTAGTTGAGGTTGTGTTGGTTGTTGTCTGGAGGGCAGTGGTTAGCAGCATATGCTCTGAGGTGTGCATTGCCTTTCCTCTGGTCTGCTTTTGTGCTTTTCTTAATGGAAAGTGGTCTCTCTGAACTGGCTGGACAATCCCAGTGGAAGGAGTAAAATCTGTATCTGTGGGAGTGTTATGCTGTTCTGTAAGGACTTAAAAGGCTTTCTGCCCCTCGTGGAAGCCACCTGCTTTTTTTTTTTACTGGGGTTTCAGAAAGGAATTAGTATTCTTTAAAATTCTTTGAAAATGTTAGTATATGGAGCTTGTATGTAATATGCATAGTTGAATCATTACAGTGAAGATGGTGTTTGTAAAACCAAAACACCTCCAGGATCTGAAAGAGATGGGGAACTAATCCACGCACGTGAGAGTCCAAACTCTCTGAAAATGCTCCTGAAGAGTAAGGAGTTCTTCGACATATCTCATGTTGGATTAATTGTGTCAATGTGGATCTGTTTAGAAATAAGTTCCCTTTCTCTTAAGGGAGTTTTAAGTTCAACTGATTTTGGTAGAGAAAAAAAATTTCATTTATTTGCCCTTCAGTTAGTTCTGAAAAGTCAATACTGAACTCCTATCAGTTTGTGGCAAGGGCAAATTCTCTTCTCATTGACACCTGTAAATCACCAAAAACCCCACAGTGGCATTACATAAGTATAAGGAAACATTAAAAATCTGGTAACAGGATTTGAGCTGGCTGCTCTCAGAGAGGAAAGGGCCACTGTTGAACATCAAGGATACACTGCCTGGTGTTGACCTGAGGGGGGGGGGTTGTACCTTGAAGTGAGTGAACTTTGGCCGCTGCCGAGTGAACAGTGAACCATAGTTTCTGTCAGTGAGTTGTGCTGCTGCTCACAGGCAGTTTGTCTAAGGAGGGAGAGGAGATCTAAGGTTTTAATTCCTGAAGAAGATTTCTGTCTTCTCCTGTAAAGCACGAATGGGTGTTTTGGCAAAACATAGTCTGGGTGGAATTATATATTCTAATGTGTCACTGAGTTTTTCTCTTGTTGATAACTTTTCTGGAATTAAAGTAGGCTGCAGATATTCCCAGAGGCATGAATGTTCAGTGAAAAAAAAATGGATTGGAATATCATCTCTAGTGGTCGTTAAAGGCTTTCCTTCATATAGAATTTGATGTGTGATATAAGAAGATTCACATGTGACAGATATTATGGAATGTAGAATTAAGCAAGTCTGCTCTGTAAAGAGGATTTATTTTAATTTCAAGTCACCATTGCTGAATGATGCAAAGCTATTATGATTTCTAAGCCTTTAATGAAGCTAGTTTTGTAAATGATGGCTACGGAAGAGAAATGAATAAAAGATTCTAGCCTTTGCAGAGAATACTTTAATACTTGCAATTTGGGTGACGTGAGCCAGTCGGGATGCTTTCAGAACTGCATAACTTGAGAAGGAGGGCTTGAAAAAGTTACCTCTTTGCAAAGCAAGCAAACAGCTCATCTGCATAAATGACACGTTATAATGGAGATCACTTGAAAAAAGACACAATCTCTGCAGTAAACAGCAGGAGCATGTCAATATCAAGGACTCCTTAATTTAATCATTAAATTGATTTTTTTAAGGTTTGTGGATTCAATCCACAGTGGGCTGTACTGCCTCAGTTTGTGGAAGCTCTACATAACAAGTTGCCATACTTTTATTTTATTTTTAAGATCTCATCTGTAGAGGAGCCTTTGAGCCCTATAGAGTTGCTCCATTTCTCATTCTCGCACAAGATCTGTTTGCAAGCCTGTCCTTTGCATGAGCCTCACAAGGGAGCTGGTGAGGAGGCCTGAGCAGAGCAGGCTTGGCAGGAACCACCGGGCTGCTGCTTCTGATCAGAGCTGTGCCTGCTGCTGCTCTTCTCTTCCTGGGCAGCTGCCTGGGGGAGCAGAGTTCAAGCCCTCAGCTCTTGCTTTCTTTGGCAAGAGCTGGTAGT